GAGGTTAGAAGGAGAATTTTTGCCTTTGAGCTGTGGTGCTGGAGAAGAGTATTGAGAATACCATGGACTGCTAGGAAAACAGATTCGTCCTGGAAAGGATTAAACCGGGTGGCTCCTTGGAGGCAAGGATTCTGAGGCTCTAACATACTTTTGACATGTTGTGAGGAGAGGCCGGTCCTTGGAGAAGGACATCATGCTTGGGAGGGTGCAGGGACAGCGCAGGAGAGGAAGGCCCTCTATGAGGTGGATTGATTCAGTGACTGGGATAATCAGGATGGGACTGTCAGAGACAGTGCGATTGCCATAGGACAGAGCAGGGTTTAGGGCTGTTGTACATAGGGTCGCTATGAGTCGCAAGAGACTGGACGGCACATAACAGGATAGAATCAATGACATTTTGATGACTGGATTTCCTGTGCCCTGCTTTCCCTTTAATTTGAACTTGCATATGAGTAGTTGATAGTTTGTTCCTCAGTCAGCACCTGGCTCTGTTTTCACTGCTAATACTGAAATGCCAGCAATTCCTTCATATATGTACTTGATCTGATTCCTGTGCATACCAGCAGGTAAAATACATGGTTTTAACCCTGTATTTATTTTATAAAATATACTTGGAATAAATAATTGTTCAGAATTCTATCCCGCACCTCATTTCTTTCACCAAGTTATGTTTTCTGACTATTAATCTTTCTTCTGGTTTTCAACTTGTATTCCAGTCATCCATTATTATTAATTTGTCTTGGTTGCATGTTCTATTGATTCTAACTGCAAAAGTTTGTCAAAATTTAGGGAACTCTGGTGGCCTAGTGGTGAGAAGCTGCACTGCAATCCCAGTGGCACGCTGTACGAATCCAGCCGATGCTCTTCTGGAGAAATCTGACAGTTGGATCCGATTTGCAGCAACCAGAAAAAGTTGATAAAAATCATCTATTTCCTCTTTGGCTCTGGTTGGTGGTGTATATATTTGAATGATAGTGGTATTCACTGGACTGACTTGTATGTGTATGGTTAGTACCTTGTTTGATAATTAACATTCTTGGCTGCAGCAGTCAGGAAATCAAAAGAGGAATTGAAGTGGGAAAATCTGATCTCTCCAAAGTACTGTGAAGCAACAGTGTAACTCTAGAGATTAAGGTGCACCTGATCTAGGTCGTTATCTTCACCAACTACTTGCTATTCATCAGAAAACGACAGTGACCAAGGATGACAGAAGAATTGAGGCCTTTGAGTTGTGCTGGGAAAAAGCACTGAACATACATTGGAGTATAAATAGGTCAGTCTTGGAAATGGTGAAACCAATTTCTCCTTGGAGGCTAGGATTTGGAAGTTCCATCTCATACTTTGGGCATGTGGCCAGGACGGAACCAATCCTTGGAGAAGGATATGCTTGGAAAGGCGGAGGGACAGGGCAGGAAGACCCCAGATGAGATGGGTTGATAAAATAGCTGGGACAGTGGGGGTGAGTTTGCTTAAGTTAGACTGCCTCAGGACAGGGCAAGCTTCAGAGCTGTTGTATGTAGAGTTGTTAGGAATTGGAGATGACTGCACAAAAATACCACTTTTGGTTTTATGTTCCACCAGACAGCTAAATGGTCCCCTGTTTGTAAGCCTAGTCACCTGGTTTATCACTTAGGAAATGAGAATTAAAAAAGACCTCTGTGTCAAGATTCAGAAACCTTGATGGCACTAAAGGTAAGGCAATTGGCTGCTTACCCAGAAGATGGTAGCTTCTCTGGGGAAAGTTGATCTGTTTTCCTAAAGATTTATAGCCTTAGGGGAGCTCAGGTGGCCTAGTGGCAAGAAGCTGCACTGCAAATCCCAGAGATGCATGGTTCGAATCCACCAGATGCTCTGCAGGGAAAGGAGGGACAATCTCCTGTACCAGTCAGATCTGATCTGACTGTACACAGACACACACACAAAAAAAATTAAAAGATTTATAGCCTTGGAAATAGGGCAGTTCCATGCTATCCTACAAAGACTACACCCTGCCATGTGGATTACAGCTCAGCATTGTCCAACAAAATGATTTGACACAGTGGTTGTGACAATGAGATCAAGTATATCAGTGAAGGTGGCAAAGGATTGGACAGGGTTCAGATCTGCTGGTAGGGTTGCTGTAAGTCATTTGATGGCATAACTACAGTGTCAGGATGAGTCCCAACTGAATAGCAGTGGGTGGTGGCTGGCCCCATGATCAGGTGGGAAATGAAAATCTCAGGATCATAGCAATTCACCCAGTAACCCTGGCAAATTGTTAACATTAGAACTTCATTCTTAACTGCTTTCAAGTGGAACCCATCCTGACTGACCCTACAGGTTGTTAGGTGCTGTCAGATTAACTCACCAGGTCAGTCCATCTAGTGAGAAAGGCTGAGTCCTCAACTTTTCCAAGCATGATGTTCAAGTACTGGCCCCTGTCTAAATAAAGTCTGTGAGATGGAGTATGACTAGCCTTACCTCCCAGGAGCAACCTGGTTTAATTTTCTCCAAGACCTATTCTCTTGGCAGTTTATGGGATGCTCAGTACTCTTATCTAGCACCATGACTAAAAGGCATCAATTACTCTGTCATCTCCGAGCATTTTCCAGCTCTCAGATGCATAGTATGCAGTTGAGAAGACCATGACTTGCATCAGGCACACCTTAATCTTTAGACTGCCGTAATTACTTCTTAGTACTCTAGCGAGGTCCCTGACAGATTTTCCCAGTGCAATTTGTCTTTTGATTCCTGTGCCAAGGTGGTGATTGTGGATCCAAATAAAATGAAGTTATATGACAACATTTTCATCTATAGTAGTTTTAGGGGACTGTACTCAGTGGGAGGAGACAGCCTATTTTAATACCTCTGATCCCTGGTGGATTAGTACAACAGGTTTGGGTTAGTGAAGGAGAAGACCCTCAACCAGGTGGACTGACTTGGTGACTGCTGCAGTGGGCTCTTGTGTGTCAGAAAAGTGTGAGGATGTGAAGAAGTGATGTGTTTGAGTTGTGCTGGAGAAGAATATTGAACATAACCCTGGATGGTCAAGATAACAGTCAGGTGAAACCAGGCTGCTCGGGCATGTTACCAGAGGGACCGGTCCTTGGAAAGGGACATAATGCTTGGATAGGTGGAGGGACAGCACAGGACACACACGCCACACATACTCCCTGCCTTCCACCACAGGCTGCCAGAACAGTCAGTGGGTATCTTCATGCTTCATACATATCATCAGAAGGACCAATAACCTAGAGAAGGAAATATTTGGTCAAGTGAAGTCAAGCGTTAAGAAAAATGGGACTACTACTGAGGAGATTGACAAAAACTGCTGTACAAGACGTCACCAAGTTAGCGCCAACCAACCACTGCCAGGCATCCGGCACACCTGGTTCGAGAGGTGACGTCTAAGTATGATTGGGAAACAATGGCAAGTTGGAATTGCCCCTCCCCTCTAGGGTGTGCCTTAGCGTCAGAGATGCATCATCTCAGAGGAGTCTGACTCAGCTTGTGATGATATCAGGTAAGGCTGACCCTTAGACGATGGTTGTCATGAAGGAAACACTGCCTTTCTCTGTTGGAGGTTGCCGTAGGCCATGACCCAGAAGGCTTTTTCTTCCCAGCACCTCCTTTCAGCTGTTAGGTTCTGTGTCCCTAGTTTTACTTTGCAGATCAACCTTGCTCCCAGTTTCCCCATGCCCTTCACCTTTCAGTCCCTGGAGGAGGAAGCCAGCGCTGACAATGAGCCTGTCCCAGGACTTGATTGTTCTCGAACCTGCAGAGTTTGGTTCTTCTCACGTGAACTACCTGAGCCACCTGCACGTTCCAGAGACTTGGCTTCCTCCAGTATGTGAAACTATGTCGCAGTCCCATTAATGTCACGGCCCTGTGGCTTTAGGCCAGGGGCTGTACCTGGGGGATGACTCACTTTTCTTTGCGGTAACGTGAAGATGAAGTGAAAACCTGCAATTACTTAGTGGATGTTCCAGTATGTTCACATAAACCAAGCAAAGGACTATATACTCTTAAACAAGAGCTGTGCTTTTAAAGGCCGCGGGAGCGGGCGTGAGTCCTCCAGGCCTGCAGGGGGCGCGGCGCGTGCGGAAGCGGCCTGGTCCCAGCCTGGCCTCGACCCTATAGTCATGATCACCGCGGAAGAGGCTGCGTCTGCCCTCGGATCTCCGGGGTGCTCGGAGCCGGCGTGGCCTTGGGTGAGCGCGGGCTCGGGCTGGGGGGCTCGCGGCGGCCGGGTGGGGGCGCCGGCCTCACGTCCTGATGGTGCCTCTGCCCGCAGAAAGATGCTCCCGTCTACGCGCTGGTCCAGCGGATCCATCAGCTCCAAGCCGAGCGCGCGCAGGCCTTCCGCAGGCTGGAGGAGTGAGTGCTGCCGAGGGGGATGGGGTGTGGGGGGTTGCTGGAGGACCCCACGCACTTCGTGGCCAAGGTGGGGCGGGTGTTGATGGAGTGCAGATCCTCAGGTCAGCTCGCGGGGACTTAAGGCGAGCCTCTATTCCCGGACGTCCCCGAGGTAACTTTCCTTCATTACCTCCGTGGAGATGTGGGTCTGTCTCTGGCACGTCCGGCGTTCTGGGACTCTAGGGTAACCCAGAGGACGCAGGACTCGGGGACTCGACCCCCGGCTCCCTCATACACCGCAGAGCCCACCGCCAGTATGTGTGCAACGGCCCGCAGTACGACTTCCCGCGCTATCGGGGCTCAGTGCACGAGGTGACCCAGGCCTTCGCCGCCGCCTCGCGGGAGGTTCTGGCCCTGGAGGCTGAGCTTGCGGGGCCCCGCGCGCAGCCACTGCTCGCCGGCCATGTGCGAGCCCTGCAGCAGCTGGAGCAGACCCATCTGGCCACGGTGAGCCCTGCCATCCCAACCAGCCTATTTTGACCGAGTCCTAAGACTCAACTCTGTCCTTCACCCCAGCCTCATCTCCCTGCGCCGCTCTGTAGATGGCCAGGACCCATTTCTAGTTCCTTGGCCACGCCTCCTCCAAGCAAGCCCAATCCCAGTCTAGATCTTGGGTCTAGCCCGCCCCTGCGACTACAAGGTTCCACCCCTGAGATTCCCAGGCCCCACCTACTACTTGCCTGTGTCGGGTTTTTGGCTTTGCCCTAGAGTCACTTGTTAGGATTTCCAGATCCGTTCGCTTGGCTCCTCCCTTCAAAAGTTTAGCCCCTCCCCAGCCCTGTGTTCCTTCCCGGCAGTGAGAAGGTGAAGGTCCAAGGCAGCCTTTGCCCACAGCTATGTCCCCCTGCTACCCTTCCGCCTAGGTGGCCCTGCTGCAGTTGATGAGGGCACCAGAACTGAAGGACCAGGAGAACACCTCACAGACGCACCAGCTGAAGATGAAGTGAGCGTACCCCCAGTGAGGCCTTTGCTAGATTTGTGGGGCACCTTTGGACTCCCAGGAGCTCTGTGGTTAAGCACTCAGCTGCTAGCTAAAAGGTCGGCAGTTTGAGCCCGCTGCTTCTCCCCTAGGGAGAGAGCTGCAGCAGTCAGCTTTTGGAAAGGTTGATTGTGGTGGTGTTAGTGGGTATTGTCAAGTTGGTGCTGACTCAGCGCTGTGAACAGCAGAACAAAACACTCCCTGGTCCTGCACCATCCTCCCAAATGCTGCTGTGCTCAAGCCCATTGTTTCTGCCCCTGTGCCAGTCCATCTCCTTGTCTTTCTCAATTTCAGAAACCCTATGAGACAGTTCCCTAATGTCTTCCACTTTACCAAGTACGGTTATCTTTCTTAGAAACTATATCTATCTATATCTATACTACTCTATATCTATCTATCTAATCTTCTACTGTATCTCTATCTATCTATATCTGTCTATCTAATCTACTGTATCTGTCTATCTATATCTTCTACTGTGTCCTATGAAGTCCTCTCTGAGTCAGAATCAACTTTGACCCCGGTGAGTTGATTTGGTTTCAGCTCCAGCCTGGGGTCCCCAGAACTGGCCCTGCCAGAACTCCAGGCTACACACAATACTCAGGGCTGGTGTGCACACTAAGAAGTCACTTGGTGGCCCTCAGCTCACAGCTCCCCTCAAGCACACAAGCTACAAATTTGCACCAGCTGCACCCTGGTGCCCCCCATTTGTACACATAGGACTGGGCACAGCGACCCCCCCCCACATGCTTCTGCATATATGACCTCCCATATATATGCATGTGCACACACTACACACTGCTCACTCAGCTTCCCAAGCCACATGTGTGTGCACACATTCCATTTCACACTCACACTGGCACACAGTCTCCTGAGCACCGGTGTGTGCACACCCTCGCCAAGGGCCTTCTGATGCTGGTGCTGCCTGGAGGCTGGGGGGGGGGCGGGCAGAAGGGCCTGGGGCTCGCCACAGCCCCCTTGGCTGCGCAGCAGCGGCTAATTCGCCCCATCTGGGTTTTATTTATAGTTCCCATCCGCTCTTGTAGGGTAATTAAAACCATGGAGGCAATCAGCGAGGTTCTCCAGGACCTCAGGTTTGATGCAGAGTCTGCGGAGTGATCAGGCTCCCCAGGGGCACACCGAGGGAGATGGGAAACACAGCGAATGGCGCCCAGCCCGGCGGACTGCCAGCTGGCTGGGTCATGCCCCTCCAGGCTGCTGGACTCCAGCTCTCAATAAAAAGACTTTTCTTTCTGTAGCTGTTCCGCCATCTTTATGTCTTGGGGTGCTGGGGTGATCATAAGAGGAGGGAGCTGCACAAGAAGGACCAGGAATGGCTGAAGGAAGCTGTCCACCCCTCCCAGACTCCAGAAAATCCATGGCTGATTTTCAGAATTTCAGATCTTGTAGAGTGCTAACCTGGAGGTGGAGGTTCCATACCCAAAGGGTCCTAAGGAGTCCTCTTGTCCTCCCTGAGCCCCATGACCCTCCCTGGGATTCAAGGTGCCGGCACAACCAGCATGTAAAGAACTCATTTATTTAGACTTTGGCAGGGTCCTGGGTCAAGGAGAGACATTATCCCCCACTTTACAGGCCCAGGCACCAAAGCCCAGCTGCATCCCCTCCCCCACGGCTGGAGTGTTTCTTTTGACACTGGAGTGTTTGCCTTCAGAGGGGCCCAAGCTGTTGTGGCCTGCAGAGCTCCTAAAATGAGTGTTCCTGGCTTTCACGCTCTCGGTGGGATGGCATCCTCAGGGTCCTAGAGTTTATCTGGCAGGACCTGGGAACAGAAGGGAAGTTAGAGACTGAGCATAGATGAGGAGGTACAGAGGGCCTGGTGTAAGTCTTTGCCCCACACTTAGCTGTGTGACCTTTGGCAGGATGTAGCCCCTCTGTGGTCCTTGATTTCCCATGGGATCTACCCACCTCACCTGGTCTCCTGGGGGTAAAGTGCATGTCACAGTGCAGGCATGTAGTAGGCACCCATACATAGTAGTAACAAGAGTATGGTCTGTGTGGTTATCTTTAATTCCTGGGACTCTGGATGAGAGCCCTCCTTGAGTTATAGATGCACTTTGTAGACCTAACGGCCACAGGTCTGGGCAAACAGGTGCTAAGAAAATGCTGATGAATAAGATACTAAGGTGGGAAGGGTTCCAGCTCAGCGACTCTAAAAGGATGAAGGTACGTCTTCCCTCTAGCCCGCCCAGCCCCCTTACCTCTCGCCGCGCCCCGTCTGCCCGAGGGCAGGATCCCCTCGTCCTGTGCTTGGAAGGAAGGTGGCGGTGTCGTGGGGTCTGTAGACAAATCACCCCCGCCCTGTCTTCTGCCCCGCCCCCAGTTTTCTCCCTTTGACTTGATGGCAGCCCCTCCTTGCCTGCTGGCACATCCCGCACAGGTCCCCACACCCCACCTGGGTGGCAGGCCCCCCCTTCCTACCTGGTGGCGGTTCCCTCTCCTATCTGGTTGGGGCTCACTCCCTACCTGGTTGCGCGTCTTGTGCGATTTCTGCATCCAAGCGCGCCACTGGTCGTAGAGGCGGAAGCTGAGGTTGGAGCAGTACGCGTGCTTCTTGAGCCAGCCCAGGAACTGCTTGAGCTCGCGCCGTACGGGGCACGAGCTCGGTTCGCCGCCCCGCGGCTCGCACGCCCCGCCGCTGGGGCTCGGCCTCTCTGAGTGGAGACAGCGGCAGCGTCGGCGCGCTGCCGGCAGGGGGCGCGCGCAGGCAGGCCCGGAGGGGGCCGGAGCAGCAGTCCGCGCGCCCTTCGGCCACCTCCCTCCCCGAGTCTCAGGGACCCGGCCCTCCCCGCAGCGCTGCACTGCGGTCCAGCTGCGCCCCTACCCGCCCGCGCCTGGGGAGGTGGGGGCAGGGGAGGAAGAGGTTCCTCCTCCACGTGTCCAAGAACAGGATTCCTGCGCCCCGAGCCAGGTGTGCACTAAAGGGCAGGGAGAGAGGGAGGGGTCCCGGCTGGGGAGTAGAGACTGACAGAGCAGGGAGCAGAAGAGAGGGCTGTGAAGTGAGGTCGCTTTGAGGACCTGACTGGAAGAGAGGAAAAATGGGAAGAGACTGGAGAGACAGAAAGAGAAAGACTGTGAGGAGAGGGAGCTGGGGTGGGGATGGGGGAACGGGAGACGACGAGAAGGAGGAGCAGCTAAGGAGAGAAGTGGGAACAGAGTGATGCAAAACAGGCAGAAAGTAACTGGCACAGGAGGAAGAGGCGGGCAGAGATAAAAAGATGGAGACAGGGAGATGGACATACACAGAGGACAGAGTGAAGGAGAGACGAGATGAGACAGAGGAGGCTCAGAGAAACAGACTGGGAGATGGGGGGTGGAAAAAGACAGGAACATAGAAAGCAAGAAAGAGGGAGAGAGAGAGAGAAAAAAAAAAAGAGCGACGCAGAGCCAGCAAGAGGGAGGAGAGCTGTGGGCTGGACCCCAGGTGGGTCGGGAACACTAGCCACTGGTACTCAGAGGAGCCTGCAAAAACGACCAGGTGGGAGGCTGGTCTTTCCGTCCAGCGGCAGGCCACAGGCAGCCCCAAGCAGGCCGGCGGATAAGGACATCGGCCTCACGTCATAAATAACGCCGGGGACCCGCTGACAGGCCCTGGCACGGCCCCGGCCCCCGCCGCCCCCGCCAGCCTCCCCACGGACACAGCGCCTGCTGGCTCCCGTGCAAGAATCGCAGGTGCTGGGCACGAGCAGGGCCAAGGCTCAGGCCCCTCCCGGTGCTGCTCCGCCCACCCCGACCTGGAGGGGCCCGGGCCGGGGCTGGGAGCCGGCTGCAGCCTGCGCCGCCCTCCTTGGCTCTGGGAGCCTCTCAGGGCCTTGGTTTCCCCATCAGCCGGTGAGGGTGGGTCTAGACTCACAAGGAGCTGAGCTCAGATCCCAGTGTGACCTGTTGGGGGAGCAGCTGAACCTCCTAGACTCACTTCCTCTGAGAAGAGGGCCTTTCAGGAGTGAAATGGGGGAGAGGACAAGGGTTTTTCCTTCCACCTCTATCCCTCCCACCAGGCTTGAAAGTGATTTCTCATACTGATGCTAGTACGATTATGGGCCCTACTTCCAGGTGAGGAAACTGAGGCCAGACGCTCCCAGTACAAACTGTATACTATAATCATAGCTGCCCCATTCCACAGAAAAGAAATAGAAGTCTCAAATCCGCTTGTCCTCAGGCTTTGCGAAGGGGATCCCCTATTGCCATCAAGTCAGTTCTGATTCACAGTGACCCCGTGTGCTAGAGAGCAGAACTGCTCCATAGAGTTTTCAAGAGTGTAATCTTGCCAGGCTTTTTTTCCCTCCAGGGCACTGCGAGGGTGATTTGAACATTTAGGTTCTTAATTTAATGCCAACCATCTGTACTATTCCCGGACCTAGGAGAGAGCTGCAAGTTGTTAAATGGGATACCTGGAGAGTGAATGAATGTCCTGGCTTCTAGCAATCCTGGCTCTGTCTTGTTAAATTTTCTAGAATCTGAATTTTTCTAGAAGCTATATATGTAAAACATTCCCATTTTTAAATGTTTAAGAGCAGGTATTTTTTCTTCTTTTTTTAATGACAAGCCAAAGAAAATCGACTGAGAGGAGCCGCCTCTGTCCCACCCGAGGTCTCTCTGAGACCTGCTGCTCTTGTTGGGGAAATCACAAGAAGGCTGCTCTGGTTTGAGACTGGTCCCCAGATCTCCCAGGCCTCCTGGGGGGTGCTCACCACTTCGGGGGGTGGATGCAGCCGTGGGGTGGCTCCATTCACTCCATATCCCAGCCTTTTTGGAGCCGTAGATGCCAAAGGGGTTGCAGCGGACTTGCACGAAATACACGGTGCCTGGTTTCAGGCCTGCCAGGCGACATGAGGTCTGGTTGCTGACGTCATCCACCACCTGAGTGGGGAGGGGAGGGTCAGAGCCCAGGGCTGGGGGCCAGGTTGGGCTGACAGGCAAGTGGGTGGGTGGGCAGGTGGACAGGCACCTTCCAGTCCACACTGTCCTCCACTCGATATCGGATCTGATACTTGGCTTGGAACAGGAAGTCCTTGAGAGCAGGTGGTGAGACCCAGCGGACACTGAGCTGGTCCTCCAGGCCCCCAACTCGGCTCACATGCACGTCGGGAGGGGGGTCCGTGGTCACTGAAGGGATGAGGCATCCTTAGTCACCACTCTTCCACTCAGCTGGCCCTCTGAGCAGCAGCTCGAGACTGGCCGGCTTCCAATCCCTGAGCTGTGTGGCCCAGGGCAGGTGACTTTCAGTGACCTGCCTCTGTTTTCTACACACCCTGGGGACTGAGGTGTGGATTCCACAAGCCAAACTCAGAAACCACTCATCGCCCAGAAGCCCTCAATTAATGTTCACTGTTATCAGCATTATCATCTATGAAGGGGGAAACTTGATCCCAGCTTAGGGGGACTATGGTCAGGCAAAGACGGCCTCTGGGTAATGTGATTATGATTATACCCAGGAGGCCAGGCCAGGTCTTCAGCACCCCTGGAGAACCCCTGGCTCTCCCCACTTCCAGCCCCTTCTCATTTTATGGAGGAAACTAAGGTCCGCTTCCGTATAGGGCGCAGTGGGATAATAGAGTCTTGGGACACTCACTGCAAATCTGGGAGGTCGAGTTAGAAAATAGTATGCTGGCAGGGGCCTGCAAGGTTTGGGTACCCCCTGGGCATCATGATGTATTGCCCTCTCCCCCTGAGGCCTCTGTGAGGGGCTGAAAGGGTTAAGGTACAGGCCTGCTTGGGGCTGAGAAACATCCTAATTAGATTAGGCCCAATTCTGCTCGCAGATCAGCCATTTCCTGCCTCCCGCCTTCACCCCCCAGCTCCAGGCCACGGCTTCCTGGGGCGCCTCTCAACCTGGGCGCCCCCTCCCTGTTCCCCCGGGTCTCCTCCAGCACACCTGGGCCACAGAGGGGGAGGGAACCCCGCCAGGTGTTCTTCCCAGGGTAAGGGTCCTGCCTGCTCTTGGGGAAATTGCAAACACATGAGGGACAGCATCAACCCCAACAAGGCAGGCCCCACCCGAGATGGAGATGTAGCGCCCCCTGTGGAGGCCTGGGTGGCACCGGGGCCTCACCCACATCCAGGATGTCCAGTGTGAGCACGTCAGAGCGGGCCGAGCCCAG